TACATCACAGCCGATCAATATGTCCACTCGGGTGTCCGGAACATCCTGGAACGGCAGATCCTGGAGGTGAGGCGAGCGCCGCGCTAGCGAATGGAGACTTTCGGAAGCTCTCATTGGTAGTTCGGCAATTGTAAATGCACGGTGCACCTCTATCGTATCTTCCTTCGATGTGGGAGCTAACTTCAAACTCAGTTGAGAAACTCGAACTGCTCGTGCCCCATTCATCGTGCTGATTACCAATGAGGTGGTTTGTCCACACAGGTTGTGTTCTCGTGCAAAGCTCTCTCTCACGAGGGTGGTATCCGATCCATTGTCTAGAAACGCCACGGCTTGCACCATACCATGCGGAGTTTTCACTTGGATTGGTATTATTCCCAAGCGGACCGGCCCACTTAACACCCGTCCGATAGTGCAGACAGATTTAGGTGTATCCCTGCAGCGTGCTCGTCTGTTCTATCGACCCGGCCGCTATTCGTTTTTTGCTGGACTCTTCCATCGCGGTGCTCTGTGGGTATCGCGCAAGCACAAAAAGCAGGATCCTGTCCTTTTAGTTACTGCCCAGCGGTCCATGACCTTCATTGCCAAAAACTCTGGGCAGTCAACAAGCTTGTGGACACCTATGCACACTTTGCACTTAATCGGTCTTTGTGTGTCATATGAGATTAAGTTGGTGCTCGCCCAGTTGCGGGGGGTAGGGGAACCTCGAGATCCAGACGACGTAAAGTTGGTTGGAGGCCTAGCGGTCCTGATGCTTTCCCTCGCCAATTGACCGAATCGACTAGTTGCTATGCGAGATTGACAACCTATAAATTGGGTGAGTTCGTTAAATGTCACCTCTTTGTTCCTTTTCTCGGTCGCCCAGGCTGTCTACATTTCGGCCGGCAAACATCTGACAATCGATTGCAGCGTGTGAAGTGCGTCCAGGTCCGACTGATATTAGAGGTGGTTTAGAGCGATGCTGCGGTTCTGCATCTTGATGACCAGGTTTGCTAGAGAACTGGTGTCGACTCTTGTGCGCCTCGCCTCTTCTAGCACCCCTTCAATCATGTTTCGTGCCCCTCAGAATGGTTGACCAAACATCTACTTCAGTATATTCCAGACTCTCGGGTATCCCACTTCCGGATCCAGCATTGCACACCTTTGTATTGCCTCTTTGGTCTTCCCCCAACATTAGTGTAGCAAAAACAGAAAAATTGCCCTGCATCATTGGTTTTAAATTAAACAAAATTCTCGTATTCGCGAATGAATAGGCAATATTAACCGGAAATACCATTGAAAGGTGTCAGTTCAGACTGTATCGGTTTGATTCTGACTTGAGTACTGCGCGTCAACCAATTCGCACTTGAGTGACGCGTAGCCGAACCGATACGAATCCCGAAGTAAAAACACAATCGATCAGCAATGTTCTGTGGTACTGAATTAAGGAAATCATTACAAATGTACAATAAAGCAAACCTCAAATATGTGGCCCAGAGCACTCAAGCAAGCGAGCCAAAATGATGTACAAAGAGACAAACGGTCGCTCACGTTCTCTGACCACGCCAAATTCAAATGTGCCGGGCATCGAATTAACAGATAAATAAATAATGATGTATGGTGTTTGTGATCGAGAAATGTCAATATAGGAGCAACACACAGTAAAAGTTATTTCACCATAAATCATTATGGGTTCGGAAGGATGTTCGATTTTTCGGTTTCCGTAACCGAATCGACTTGCGACCATCAGTTATCCCCTGCCAAGTCAACATTATCTTGCGGTGATGTGGGTGATGAGTCGATCTTAGCCACTAGCCCTAGGATTTCCAAAGAATCGAGCGCATCACCGAATCATATTAAGGATAACGAACCAGATCCGGTTGTTCCTGCAGATGTGGTTTTGGGGTCTGTTGAATCGAACAAACTCGAAACAGTTGTCGCTGATTCGAGATTATTATCGATTACGTTTTCATCACCAAAGCATGGTCTTTCTTCTGGTTTGTCATCTGTATCTGAGACTACTTCCGAACTCGCAGATCCAGTTGCTGTTGATCTGCCGTCTGATGATGCGGCAGCACCACTCAGTAACGTTGAAGAACTTCCAAGTGGTTCCAATCCTCCGGCTTCCCTTGTAAAAATCGACTCCGGCGGTACACCCATCCTGAATAAACCCGGTGAGGATAATAGATTCAACTCGGGCAACTCTACTTCGGTGCCCACCGATTGAAGTATGGTGAGTTTATCTGATACAGTCAATGCTCTGTTTCTCCCGTTCAGCCATAAGTCAGATGATCCCAGTACAAGTTCGCAAGATTTGCTCCAGTCAAGCATACGTGATCCAGCAGTCCAAACAGACCACCCACCTTTAATTCCTCACTCAGATGATTCCAACCGGGCATATTCCCACGTTCCATCCAGAGACTCACGATCTGAATCAAGTAATGGTTCTTCACATTTGGATTGTCCTTCGAGTCGGCATCAGATGCATACATCGGATCACCGTCACACTCACTCACATCGACACGATCGGGACAGGCGAGATCGTTTACTTCTTCCTCGTCGTATCCAAGCAGTGGTAGTGGAGGCAACGGCCGTGTTCATTGGCAGTGCATGAAAAACGGCAAAAAAGAGGGTTCTCGTGATTGCAACCATCACCATAGATCACCGTCTAATTCTTCCCGTTCTTCTGCTTCCTCCGCCTCGTATCGTCACACTCATCAACCACATCATCATTACCGACATCATTCTCAAAAGGAATCTAGTCGATCACGTGAGTCAGATTTATCCACCACACGCTCTGAATCGAACCGTTCCGAGTACCATTCATCCAACCATAAGCATGATCGGCTGATGGAAACCAGACGCTCGTAAAATGAACACAGTGATGTTTATAGTAATCTTGCTATCCAAATGTGATCTCTGGCTGTGGCCACCAAGTTTGAATGATCGTCTGTGTGGTGTACTCAGACGGCTAGTTCCGTATTTTTGTCATTTACCCACCGAGTAGCCGCTAGCCCCGGTTTATGGTCTACACCATCCTCATTCTCTTTGATATACCCACGTATATGAGATAACTCTGGGCTATCCGGATCTGCTCTCCGCCTTCATTCAAAATCACTCGTTATATCCCACGTGCCGGATCCTATATCTCACCGCATTCAGTTCCTGGCTTTGCTTTTTTCGCCTTACCCAACTGAACACGCTCGGTCGTAGATCAGCTCCGTTCTTATCTCCATCATCCTCATCTCATACCAAGGGCCTTCAAGAGTTGGAAATTGCCGATGATTTGTTGGAAATTTCAGAGCCCCATCTCGTCCTGTCTCATTCTCGAAAAATATGTACATAAATCACCTGGCCTCTATATTTTATTGCTGTTCATTCTTGCTCGTTTGTTCAATGAATTAGTTCTTCTGACAAATCCACCATCACAGACAATTGTGCTGTTGTTTATTTCCATTTTCTGTCTCGTCCCCCCGAGCTAAGTTGGATCGGAGGCACCTTGAATCCGGATCCCCTCATCACCACCAGATCCCATTAGGTGACACTCGATTCCGTTCACAATTGCTTCTCATTTATTTTCTCGCTCGTTCTACACATAAGTAACTTAATGTGATTATTTGTGCAGTTAGTCAGTCTGTACCGGTTTGATTCTGACTTGAGTACTGCGCGTCAACCAATTCGCACTTGAGTGACGCGTAGCCGAACCGATACGAATCCCGAAGTAAAAACACAATCGATCAGCAATGTTCTGTGGTACTGAATTAAGGAAATCATTACAAATGTACAATAAAGCAAACCTCAAATATGTGGCCCAGAGCACTCAAGCAAGCGAGCCAAAATGATGTACAGAGAGACAAACGGTCGCTCACGTTCTCTGACCACGCCAAATTCAAATGTGCCGGGCATCGAATTAACAGATAAATAAATAATGATGTATGGTGTTTGTGATCGAGAAATGTCAATATAGGAGCAACACACAGTAAAAGTTATTTCACCATAAATCATTATGGGTTCGGAAGGATGTTCGATTTTTCGGTTTCCGTAACCGAATCGACTTGCGACCATCAGTTATCCCCTGCCAAGTCAACATTATCTTGCGGTGATGTGGGTGATGAGTCGATCTTAGCCACTAGCCCTAGGATTTCCAAAGAATCGAGCGCATCACCGAATCATATTAAGGATAACGAACCAGATCCGGTNAGTTAGTCAGTCTGTACCGGTTTGATTCTGACTTGAGTACTGCGCGTCAACCAATTCGCACTTGAGTGACGCGTAGCCGAACCGATACGAATCCCGAAGTAAAAACACAATCGATCAGCAATGTTCTGTGGTACTGAATTAAGGAAATCATTACAAATGTACAATAAAGCAAACCTCAAATATGTGGCCCAGAGCACTCAAGCAAGCGAGCCAAAATGATGTACAGAGAGACAAACGGTCGCTCACGTTCTCTGACCACGCCAAATTCAAATGTGCCGGGCATCGAATTAACAGATAAATAAATAATGATGTATGGTGTTTGTGATCGAGAAATGTCAATATAGGAGCAACACACAGTAAAAGTTATTTCACCATAAATCATTATGGGTGCGGAGGGATGTTCGAAATATTCAGCCCAAAATACGCAGGTTCCCTTATGTTGCTGTCTGGTATACAAATGCCTGCAGCTTCCGGGGAAAACGAGGAAAGCTAGGAAGCAGGGTAGCAGAAGCATAGGTCCTTGGTGTCACTGAGACTTAGCGCAAGAGTGAAGGTATGGTTTGCAGGAGTATACGAAATATAGACAGGATAGAGTCGACGGGAGGCAAGGGGGTGGAGTTCTCTTAACTTTGCGAACTACCTGGCACCAACGGGAGTGACCGCTGCAGTTGACTACTCCCAATATTCAGGTTACTGCTTGCTACTTAAGGGTTGGATCTGGACCTATAGGCAATGTCCGCGTTTATAGGCTACCAACTGAGGAATAAGGATAATGAACTGCTGCGTACCCTATAAGGGATGAATCGAAAGGCCCATAGATTCCTCATCGTGGGAGATCTAAACCTTCCTGAAATAGCTCGGGAAGAAGAACGAGCTCCCAGAGGAACTGCGGGGTGGGCGCTACTGGAGTGGCTCCATTCGCATGCGCTTGTGTAGCATGTAAGGTAACCCATCCGGTTCTGTTTCAATCAGAGGCCCTCAATCCATGACTTAGCTATATCTCGAGCAAGGTCAGATGTCGTTAGTCTCAGGATAGAGGTCCCCCTAGGCAGGAGAGACCACGCGGTCTTTCAGTTAAAAGCACTGGCGCAGTACACTAAGCCAGGGATCAAAATGGTCCGCTTATATGGGAGTGTACAAGAAGAGAGTCTTCGAGAGGCAGAGTTAGGTTTAAGCTGGGAACCGTCAACAGCTATCCTGATCCTACCATCGAAGAGAGATGAGCTACAATTAAAGATAGTTTGCTGAGGCTCACCAAAGTGTTTGCACCCCTGAGGCCCAGGNNNCCCAGGAGACTCCAACCACGGCCACCATGGCGGAAACCATGTTTAGACAGGGCTCTGGCCACAAGGAGTCGAAAGTGGGCACTTTACAAAACGCTCAGTTCGTATCAGACATGGTGTAGCCACAAGACAGCAAGAAATCATGCGCAGGCTATGCAGCGAAGGGCCAGGTACGACTATGAGCATGAGACTGCGATAATAGTAAAACAGAACCCAAAGAGGCTCTGTGTTTACGTCTGATCTAAAATAGTATCAAGAGAGGGAATTGGCAAGTTAGAAAGCACTAATGGACGTCTTGCCCTAGGTGAAGAAGATAAAGCAAATACCCTTCTGACTTTCTTTAAGTGAGTGTGTGGACAGCCAGCAGATAGATGGCAGATAGATTCGATTATCCGAGTGTGACATCACATCTGATCGAAATAACTGTGACACCAGACGAAGTCCTTCACGAGTTAGCTACCCTGAATATGTTCAAGGGAGCGGGACCGGATGGCATACATCCCGTTATTGTTAAACCTCTAGCAGAGATAATCCAAGGGCCTTTGTCAAAGCTGTTTTAGGCATCTATAGATAAAAGCGAGATACCAGGAAGTTGGAAAAGATCGAGGGCAGTTGCTCTGCATAAATCTGAGTCAAAGCAAATGGCCAAAAACTACAGACCAGTAAGTCTGACTTCGGTCTTATGTAAATGTCTAGAAAGGATTGTACGTAAGTATATGGCTGAGTACCTCGTAGAGCATGACCTAATAACGCCAGCTCAACATGGCTTTATTAAGAGGAAGTCTTGTCTACCTAATCTGCTTGCTTCCTCGATGAAGTCATACGACGGTTAGACGAGGGACAGCATGTCGAGGACTGTTACCTGGACTTTAGTAAAGCCTTTGACTCTGTAAGTCATCAGGGATTAGATTAAAAATCGCAATTCTTAGGAAGTGGGGGAAGTTAGAAAGTGGGTATATTGCTTTACAACTAGCCTCACCCTCCAGGTCAAGGTTGGTATGCACTTATCGGTGCCGGCCAACATGACTAGCAGAGACTCTCAGGGTTCTGTGCTATGCTCACTGCTATTTCTGATGTTCGTCAGTGATCTGCCAAGGGAAATCAACAACCCGTGCTTTATGTTCACGGACAACTTCAAGGTGACTGGAGCGAATGTACTTCAGGACCTGCAGGCGGTTATACGGGGGTCTTCTGCTCAAGTTAGCCAAATATCAGCTTCTAACAGCAGAAGCTGAACTTTACACACAGGATGAAATTCAGGTTAAGAGAGGGAAGCTAAGGACCTGGGAGTAATTATACTTTAAGACCTCAAACCCTCTCAACAATGTCAGAGGGCAGCCAACATAGCTCGAAGAGAACTCTTTCGTGTACATGCCACGATTACGTTCAGGAGACCCGAGGTTCTCGTCCCTCTGTAGAAGGGCATAGTCAGGCCTCACCTGGAACATTGTGTTCAGGCATGGACTAACTACTTTCAGAAAGAAATCGAATGTCTAGAAAGGTTGCAGCGCCTAGCTACAAGGATGATGGTGGGACAGAGAGGTAAGAGCTACTAGCAGAGACTCAAGGACCTTAATCTGTTATCTCTGGCAAGAATGAGAGTCAGGGGGGTCTCATAGAAGTCTTTAAGATCATGAACGGTATCTCCGGATTTAAGTTTGAGGACATGTTCCAGTTCATCCCATCAAGTGGCACTAAAGGTCATAGTTTGGGGCTGGACATCGGAGCCAAGTTCTTTACAAGTCGCGTAATACCTTACTGTAATNCAAGTCGCGTAATACCTTACTGTAATAGTCTGCCCAAAGATGTGGTAATTTGCTCGAACGTCAGAGCCTTTAAGACGGCAGCAGATAACTGTTGGGCTTCTACCTTCCCTGAAACAGTTTGAAGATAAGTACCTATTAGTCCTGAGAGCCACTGCCTAGGACGTGATACTGCACCTTACTTTCTGCCTTTCAGAAAAAAACTATTGACTCGCAGTGTTAGAAGCCATAAGAACAGCCAACAAC